TTTCGCGCTGTTTTCGTAACAGCACTTTTCTGCCTTGGCGTATAGCCCGTGTTGACGCAACCGTTTCTAATACCCGTACTACTTGTGACCTATTGAATGATGAACCTCCAGTGAAGGGGAGAAAATTAGGATGTCATCCAAATAAACTACTACAAAGAACATCGAGGAAATCACGAAAACATCGTTTGATGAAATGCTGGAAAGGTTGCCGGTGCATTACAGAGCCCGAATGGCATCACTAGATATTCGTAGTGACCGAATCTCGTACGGAAGGAAGCAGCCGTCTTCCACTCATCATCCCCCTCCCTGATACGGACAAGGTTATAGGCCCCCCGCAGGTCTAGTTTTTAGTGAATATCATTGCCGATTTTAATCTCTGGAGAGGAGCTCGGGGAGGACTAACAGGTAAGGGATAACGGTTCTTTTTTACCGTTATCTTGTTTAGATCACGGTAGTCTATGCAGGGGCCGTAACGATTTGTCCTTCTTCTCTACGAAGAACAGCCCGGCCCCCGGCTGGGGATGTGGAAAGGACGAATAAACCCCTTCCGCAGGTTTCTCGTCAATATATTCCCTCAGTGACTCAGTACACCCGATTTCCGTATTTCTGACAAGGAAAAGATCCGGGTGCCGAACGAGATCTCAGATCCGGGTAGGAGGTCTATAGGAGACAATCGTCAGAAACGGTGTGGGGGAAGAACGTCAGCCCCTCGCTTACTGAAGAAAACGTCCAAAGAAGTCATGGTAATGGCCGGGGGAATAGTCTGGGATAGGTTTGGCATCACCGTCCATAATGCAGCACAGGAGGAACCGGGGACCCACGGATCCTGCGTGACCTGGCAGTGGTACAAACAGTAGGGTGACCTAAATTGAATCGTTCCCCTTTTCCCAGTCAAACCTGGGGGTTATGGGCCCGCAGCCAAGGGAAGCCCCAGAATGACTGGAAATAGGGGACGATGCGATGGCATCCAAACGGAGGAACTCCTGGTGATGGTCTGCTGATTGTGGTAAAAAATGGGTGGTGTCTCCTGGTCCACCACCCCTAGATTTATATATTGGAGCACGTCTGCCAATGAAGATGTTGAACCCCCCTTTCTCCATTAGGTCTGCAGTGGTATTTTTTGTTTGCCGGTGGGTACAAAAGTCAGGGTCGACAAAGCAACTATACAAGCACCAGAGTCAAACGATTGCGGTCACGATAGTGTTCTTAAGTGTTCCCTTCCCGGGAGCTAGCAAAGACACAGGTATTGGCCAGGTAATTGGACTGATCATCCCCATCCATCCTGCGGGTAAGGTAAAAGAAAAGGAAGCGGACTTACTCATCTTTGCAGGACAGGAGCGCACCTGGTGACCAGCACTATCCCCCGCAGTACAGGGCATGGTTTTCAGCGATCGTCTCCTTACTGACTGATCCCCTCAGTCGACCGACATAGTGGAACGGGCCACTTCCCAGACTGCATGGTTCCGGGTTGTCCCCCCCGATTCGGTGTCCTCGGTATGGGATATTTCCCTGGGGGTTGGAGTCTGTTGTCTCATCGGTGGGATCCAATGCCACCCTTTGACCCTGGCATGCTCCTTTCCGACGTTTCCCTACTGATGCTCCCAGGTCAATCGATATGGGCCAACTCAAGTCAGTCTCCAGGGAATCTTTAGCCTACTCCCCAGAAGATTCGCGGAAGAGACTCAGACATTGTCACAGGAGCTGGAACTGGTAAGACATCACCCAGGATACCACGGTACCATCGTGCCCTCGGTGGGCAACGCTGTTGACACCGCATACTTTCCGGGACTGGGGTTTAATGGTGGAGCGGAGGGGGGTGGGATGTGTCCATCAGGTGAGGCGGGCCTCATGCGGTCATCTTGGGTATGGGTCTTCAAGAGCCAAATGGACAGGCTGAAATAACTATGTCGGGAGACCGCCTCCTGTCCTGTGGGGGAGCGTAGACAGTGGGGGGGCCCCAGATCCTGCGGAGCTGTCCTGACCCAAGACCCGATGGGTAGGCTATCAATCGGGAGTCACGAAGAAGTCGGTCTCGTCATCCCATCCTTGGACGCTCCCTACTGACCCTGGTACGATAGAAAGATTGTCATAGTTGGTGCAAGGGCGTTCCGGAATGCGACCGGGAAGGGTCTGGACTGGGCGTCGTCTCTCACTGGCCATGTTCCCAGGCAAGTGGCCCAGCGATAGGGATCTCATCAGTGAGTGGCAGGCGAGCATTATGGATCGTACCGACCCCACATCGGGGTACGGAGTTTGTTTTCTGGGTTGGAGTATCTCTCCACACGGAGGAGTCCAGGTGGTGCATTGAAGAAGGCAGGTCAGAGGCCACCCTGCAGATGCAGCCCGATTCACCTGCGTCGAAGTCATGCTCCTTGACGTGCCAAATTCTGGGACGATGGAACAGAGAAGGTTTGGGTGGGGAAGGTCATCTCAGGGGGGGGTCACGGGGGTCGGCC